ATGTAATTTTTAGAAAACGAGAAAGAAAGAAGAAACTCCGTAAGAAAATAACAATATAAATATCAATCAGTAGGATGTGAAATATTAAATAAAATTGCTAAACAATTGCTAAAAATATTAAACAAATGTATTTTGCTTGTCTCTAATTAAAAAAATATAATGCACTTCAAAATGTCTGTTTTTTTCAGCATATATATATATATAAATTAACAAAATACTTCCTGAACATTTCAGAGTAGCTTATAATATCTTTCAATACTGAACACTCTCTAATCCATCTCTAATTAAAAAAATGAAATTTTTGATAAAATGCATTTTGGAATTCTGCTCTTCATATGATGAAATATTGTGACGATACATTCCGCACGTGTCCGCCGCAACGCTAGTCTATTCCACTGCAGACGACGCGAGCGTAAAGGAATTATAACGCGGCTGACTTCCTCTCTTATTCTTATCCCCAGAGAGAAAGTTAGGCGTACAGAATATACGGGTCCCGATCCCTATTAACAGTCTGGATGACTCCCCCTTAAATGCTGATCCATCAAAGACATCATCGGCAGATATATCTTCGTTGAATCGGCTGTCCGGAAACGAGACTATGTCTATCACGATAAATTAAAACAAAATATTCTCTCGATTCTACGTACTGAATCTATATCTGACAACAATAAGAAGGGACGAAATTTTATATCTCACAGAAATATAAATTGATTACTAAGCAAATTTAATTTACTACAAACGAATAGTTTATGAAGTCATTTGAATTGATTTTTCTCACGGATTTATAAACGCAATTAAACTACTATAGTAATATCACGAAAAATCAATTCGACGCACAGTACATAGTGTATAAATTTTCATAAAAATTATTTAAAGCATATAAAATCCAGCTTGGTCCATTATGGCATTGAACTTGTTGTTAATTTGCTACTAAATACCAAAGTATATTATATTCTTAATAACAAATACATTTTACTCTTGCGATGAAACGTTACAATCCAAATAATTTGCGAATTGAAATAATTTTCAATGAATAAAGTTAGTATTCTTAAGAAATCTTTCCCTTGTCCGTACAACAGAGCCAATGACAATCGTTGTAAGAGCGCGAAATCTGCTGTGCCAGCGAAGGCCTTTTTTCTTCTTGCAAGTCGCCAATATATGAAATACGTATTGTCTTACCTTTGACGGATTTGCTGGGCGGTGGACCATCGCGAGACCACGGCGGATCGCCGTGACTGGAGAAGTCGCGTAGTTTGAGGTACGAGATCGTTAGCCTTATTATGGAGGCCTTGTCCAGCTGGGAGGTAATGGCTGCCGGTAGTGGTAGCATTTTCGCGAGCTCGTAGAACTCAAAGTTTTCTTTACCCCGCCGCGACCTCGCCGCGTCTCGGCTCTTCTCCTTGCGCAATTCCAAGATGCTGTAATGCAAACACGCGCACGGTTACAGCGGCGAAAACAGCGCATCTCTTTGGATCACAGTACGAATCTATCGTGAGTCGTAATTCGCACGTACAGAGAATAGTCCCCAGAGAAAAAAAAATTATCAAATAATTCCGTCTGTCAACGTTTAGCTTTAGAGATCACCATATACAATATATGACATAAGCTGCATAACCATAGCGTAAGACTGCTAGACCAATGAACATCTTATGCAAATCGATATGGTCTCTTTTTCTGTCGTCGGATGATCATTGGTGATTACGGATGATCACCAGCGATTTTAAGCAGCTTGTGCAGCTTATGTCATTTTGGCCGGTATTCATATTCAAGATCGTCTTAAGTTCTGTCTTGAAGTATTACGAATTAATCAGAGGGCCGCATAAACGTCTTAAGACATTACTTAAGACAGTCTTAAAATAAGAATGGACTATGAATACCACCCTTTGTGATGGCCCTAACTATCAACTGTGGCTGTGGAGTCTCTGAAATTTTCGCCACTTGCCTTGTAATTTTGATTAATTACTGTAGGAAAACAAGTGACATTTTATTCTACATTTTATAATTAATGCTAAAAAATATAAGGAAACGCAATGCGTATACGGAAGGTGGAGAACGATTACTTTTATTTATCGCCTTTTCATATCTAAAACTAAAAATCCACATTCACTATAATATATTCGTAGTTAAGAGTTGATTAACTTAAAATTGTGAGTGCGGAAATACAACCCCCTGGGGGTAGACTCGATTTGATTAAAAGACTATAGTTGTCTGATGAATGTCCTGCGAGATGATTGTAAAAGTCTATGGACTTTTTGTAAGTTTTAAATCGATATTCATAGTCGATTCTTGTTTCAAGACCGTCTTAAGTAACATTTTAAGATGCTAATACAGCCCTCTGATTAGTCAATGACATCTTAAAACTATACTTAGGACGGTCTTAAATATAAGAACTAACTGCGAACACCGACCATAATCTTCATCTTAGAAAAAAATTGGCGATCGGCCCGCTGATTTACTTTATACTTCCGATTCCTTCTATAAGATGCCCGTCGTTTATCGCTCTGCGTCTCCTAATATGATATTTGCGAGCGACGCGACGTACGACAGGCGGGCATTGTTATTTCGCGCAAATGCGCGCGGCAGAAGCTGAAATTATGCGGTCGCGCAAATAGGTATAAAGGCGGAGAGGCGTGGCGATGTTGTGTCGCGGTGCGGCCACCGCTTAAGCGGCATACATTATTCAAGCGCTATGAAGCCCATGTTTACTGACAAGCCGGCGAACGTATCCGTGAGTGAACATCGGCGTAACGTAACCACGCCCAATGGACGGCCCCTCGAGTCCTCGGTTTTACATTTAAACTGTAAACGCCGGCCAATTGGAAATGGTGGCTGCGACAGCGACGGCACCGTGCGTAATCTACGTGCCGTTCTTGGTACCGCTTGGTCGTTAACCTTCGACGACGGCGAATCGGAGAATTGGCGCGGGTGGACCACGTCGAGCGTTACTTTCCAGGATGTCGCGAGCATACGCGAAGATTTTGTTAAATCGCGACGAATACTTGCCCAACGGACTCGTTTCGGATACGTTGAGATTCAAACAACGTTGCGTACAATCAAATGTTAATTTTTAACCGTCAACTGTTTTCCATTTGGAAAACGGTAAAGCTTCTTACCCTTCTTCTTCAGGGATATCGCAATGAGTTAAAGAGTAAATGTAAATTGGAGAAACTCTAACTTTTCGCAAGATTTGTCCCTGGGAACGCATTGAATAGTTAAGAGTTTTGCCCATTAACTCCCAGTGTTCAAAAGCCGGGGACTGATTTGATGGAAGCGCCGCGCCGGTGGTTCGAATCGAAATGACACGAAACGCAATGGGATTTTTATTCGTTCGTTATTGCGCTTAACGACTGTAAAACGTCGATGCTTTCCCCATCCACCTTGAATTTTGTCTCTCCCTCGCGCGAAAGATGCGCCAACACGATGGTAACCCATTATGACCATTCTCGCTGCCACCCAAGCAAGGATCGGAAGTCGTAAAAACGAAAGAAAGGGGGAGAGAAAGAAAGAGCATTCCTCCGATGTACATAAGCCACCACTGTTCCAGAATCTTGTTTTGGCATTTTACAGGCATTCCGTGACATTCGATCCTTCCTATCCCCCGATGAAGTTTCGTTTACGGGAGGACTTTCGTTTTCGTCCCAAAGGGATAATGACAGATTCCTCCCTTCCGCGACTGTTCGTAAAATGATAGAGTACACATTTTGCAGTGGAGCGTGCGCTAAACTTTTCCCAGTGGTACTTGATGTTGCGATTCTTATCGGCTCAAATGAATACAACAACTCCTTTCAACATTATAATAATACAAATGTAACACGAGTTTCGCGTATTTTTTCACGTGTCATGTTTACTTGTAGCACAAACTTCTTCCGCGCCCCGTCACGTGAACACGGATCAAATTGAGACGATTAAAAGGTTCTGCCGGCGATTGGTGAGGATAAAGAATACGATGGAAGAGGGACGTAGGTTCCTTCGTTTCCTTTGACCGTGTCGAGTCCATTCCCCAAGAGGAACTTATAGCCGGAGAGAAGCTAAAGTCTAAGCACGCCGAGTAGCCGCCCTCGTTCGGATCACCGCCGCGGCGAAACGCGTCTGCAGACGTGTGAAAATAAAATTACGTCCAACTTTCGGTCAAATTGGTCGGAATTGGGCGGCGAGGGCGGTAGGACGAGGGCTCGCGAGATTCGAGAATCCCGTGGGACCGGAGATAGCGGTCCCTCGCGCAACCATCGCATATCCTTGGCGATCCTCGAGAAGGCTACCATCGTGGAGGCGTCTTCAGCCACTCGACATCCTCTTGCCTCTTTAAGTGCTGCCCATCAATAATTCAGCAGCGAGCTATGACGAGCTCTCGCCCTCGAATTCCCGCACCCTCCGTTTCCCAGTTTCTCCGTTTCAAGCGCGGTTCAGATCATGTAATCGTCACACCGGATGTCGTTTTGACCAGGTATAAAAAAATGACAGTGCGAATAATCGACTCGATTATCAAAAGAAAGGAAATATAGTACATATTAATCTGATTTTTTTCAAATATCAGCAGCAATCCTTGATATTGTAAGGAATAATCACATTTCACCAAAGAAAATTTTTTCACATTAAGAAAATTCTTGTCAAGAGTCTCTTGACAAGATTAGGTTAATCTTTATTATTATTATCTGTCGTATTTTTTTTTATAGTTAATAAGATTATTTTTAGTCTGTAGTCGTTGGTGTAATTTTCTTGGATTTTCCTCAGTCAGGATTTTACGATAAAACGCAAAATTGAAAAATATAATATTTGTAGAGATTGAATATCGTTATACGAGATTACCACCTTGTTCGAATGATAAGAAATGTTCGCAACCCTTCCGCAACCCCTGATGATGGTCGTTTCCAAGCTCTTGGATATGATTCCTCTCAGTAATAAGACGGGAAGTGAGAGCGGTATCGGCAACCATAGAAATTATAATGCGCGTCGTAGCACGGACTCATTGACTAATTCAATTAAACGATTCATTTGCCGGTCCGAAGCACCACCTGAGGGTATGTCCCGGTTCCATCTGTATTTTCGCGTCCATGGCGTACGTGTGCCTGTGTGTGCGCGTTGTTCTCGTCGAAGAGGAACGTGAGTCGGAAAAGGACAAACGGACCTTCCAACCTATTCCCAGGAGAGTCGTAGCCTCGCGCAACAATACAATGCTCCTAATGTTACGGCTCCAGTTTCGACATAATTTTCTTTCGCGGTCCCTGGAATCGGGGTGGGAAACCGGGTAGCTATCGGATGCCCGGGCTTTTGTAGTGTTACGGCGAAAAATGTCATTTCCGCCGACCGTTTCGATAACGAGGAGCGAAGAATAAGTTTTACGGTACCGGCGTCGCGATTAGATTCGCACGGAGAATCGTAAATCGCTATGGTTTGCAACGATTTAGATTTCTATAGTTTCTTGAACGATGCTAATCCGAACTCTCAAATTCGTCCGACGCAGTTAGTTGCCAGAGAAACGATAAGATGTCGGCGAGTTGGTGAACCTCTTCGCAATGTCGCTATAAAAAAGAAAGAGTGAGCGTTTGTCTTTTGTCGTTTACGTTCTTATTCGATGTCATGAATTATTCATGGTACATCCCTCGCCTCTAGTGGACCAAAGTACGGTCCGCGATTTCATTCATGATGCAACGCTCGAATCATGTCGAGTTTTATAAGCGAGCGCGAAGGGGATAACACGACGCGTGTAAATTCGTGGCGTTACGCAATTACGCATAGGATGAGCCTGGGGACGTTTCTTGCCGTTGAATCCAATGAGAAAAGAGAAAGTTACTTTTTAAAAACAATTCTCCTGGAATTATCCTGGAATCCTCGTAAATGAAATTGACATCAACGAAAGTAACTTATCATTATAAATCATTATAAAGCTACTAGGTTCGCTCTATATTCTAACATTAATTCGTGACATGATGGATAACGAGTGAGGAAATGTTTTCCATGGAACAGAGCGGAATCTGAATGGAAGTGTATAAAACAAGAAAAAAGAAAGCAGAAAAAGAATAACGCCGGGAGCACTAAAGCATCCCGCTGCATCCGTGGATACATAAATCACGACCGCCGTACGCATGCATGCATGCATGCGCTACACACCTACAATAAAACGGAAAAAAGAGAGAGACAAAATAGGAAGAGAAAGAGAAAAAGAAAGTCGAGATGTGCGCGTGACAGCGAGAGAGGGCGAGAGAGCGGGTAGATAGAGAGTCGGAGGGAAGTTGGCTCCTGATGACGCGCAGATAAGGGAGGGCTTAAAGTCTACGTGATGAGCTTCCCGATGCGGAGGAGCCTGAGGTCGAGCCTGAGAACTTTCGGTAAATGCACTTGTAAGAGCTGTTTCTTCTTTCCTTTACATTTTAGACGCGACCCCAAACTCTCCCCCTCCTCCCTCTGGTATCAAATGTAG